TTGGCTCAAAAATCTACTAAAAGAAAAAAAAATTATTGCCTGAGCAATTTTTTTTTAAACCTTCCAATACCCTTCTTCAGTACCTATGGGATTCCTATTGACAGAGTTGACTCCCACTGTGGTGGCTAGCCTCTGAGATGACACCCCAAAGGTGTCATTCATTCCCTTGTTTAGTCCCCTCCCTTAGTGAATCAGGACCAGCCCTGGTGCGACCAATAGAATCCAGTGAAAGTGATACTGCGTGGCTTCTGTGGCGTGCAGCTTCTGTGTTGGCCTCTTGGAACGTTTACTCCTGGAGCCCTCAGCACGAGATGCGAAGCCCGACTAGCCTAAGGCCATCTTGCTGGAGAGATCACATGAAGATCCCCTGAGATTTCATATAGAGTTATTTCTGGCCAGTCCCCTAGCCATCCGAATCCTCCCAGCTGAGGGTCTACACTCAGCATGGAACAGAGCTCAAGTGTCCCCATTAAGGGGCGCCCGGGTGGCTCAGTCCGTTAAGCATCTTGACTCTTGATTTCGGCTCCAGCCAGGATCTCCTGGTTCGTGAGTTCGAGCCCCACCTGGGGCTCTGCGCTGACAGTGCAGAGCCTGCTTGGGATTCTTGGTCTCCCTCTCTGTCTATCCCTCTCCCATTCACTCTCTATCTCTTTCTCTCAAAAGAAATAAATGAACATTAAAGAAATAAATGAACATTAAAAAAAATTTTTTTAAATAGAGTAGGGATTTTTTCCAGCGGCTGTTGCTGCTGTAATTGATTTATTCATGCTGTGGAGGTATACCTCTTCAGGTCTGTCTTCTGAGAAGCCACAATGTCACTTCTGTGGTCGCGACACGTGGGGAACCCAGACTCTCTCAGGAGCCTGTGGCTAGGTACAAACCCACAATCCAACTTAAAAAAAAACTTTTTTTAATGTTTATTTATTTTTGAGAGACAGAGCGAGCGAGCAGGGGAGGGGAAGAGAGGAAGAGAGAGAGAGGGAATCTGAAACAGGCTCCAGGCTCCCGGCACTTGACCGATGGATAACCATTCTGTTATTGATTGGCCAGCAGTTTCTGGACAGGAAGGCCCGGAGGAATCAGGGTGGGATGGCTGTTCTCAGCCACGTATATGGTATATGCCCATGAGTACGTAAAGAGAGCTGGTTTGCACACACAAAAAAAAGCGGTAATGAGAATCCATGGTGGGAAGGGAAGAGAAAAAGAGAGAGGAGCACAAAAGAAAGAGTAAGAAAGAGAAAGAAAGAACAGGGCAGAGCTCTGTACTAGCTCTGTTCCCTGGCTTTCGAATCCTGAGTTCTTATATTTTAATTTAATTTAATTCTTTATTTTATTTTTGGTGAGGAGTGATGGTGGGATGGAATTTTTTTAGTAAATTCTTAAGTGTTTATTTTTGAGAGAGAGAGAGAGAGAGAGAGAGAGAGAGCACAAGTGGGGGAGGGGCAGAGAGAGAGGTGGGGACAGAGGATCTGAAGCGGGCTCCATGCTGGCAGCAGACAACCCGATGTGGGGTTCAAACTCACGAACCAGGGGATCATGACCTGCCCCAAAGTCAGATGCTTAACTGACTGAGCCACCTCACCCCCGCCCCCCTGCCCCGGGTTGGGATTACAATTTTTTTTAATTTTGTTTTTTGTATTTTAGAGAGAGCAAGGGAGAGGGGGAGAGAGAGAGAGAGAGAGAGAGAGAG